ATCGGTATCAAACAGTCTCTACTGAGTAGTTTTTATTCAGTTATCTCTCTATCTTTAGCTACTTTCAAGGCTCATTGCCAGTTCTTTCTCTCATTTCATCACTCATGAGTTTCTGATTCATGTCTCAGTGATTTATTGCACAGTTCTGAGCAATTTTTGCAGAAAAGGGGAGTTAATTGGATAGTGTATTAGTCAGAACTCTTATGGTTTCAAGTGGCCAAAACCTAAAGTCCTCTATGGCATCAGGAAATTGTCCGCATTGCTGCTTTCCCTGTTTTGCCTCCACTCCATTCACAGAGGGTATTTTTCACATCCTGGGATGTTTGGCCCCAGACTCACATTAACTGCCACAGCAAGCAAGCAAAAAGGAAACAAGCCTCTTCACGTAGCTTCTGCAAAAGTCTGAGCTGAGTGTCATTGGCCTGGTTCAGGTCACATGCCCATCCTTTGAACTAACGTCTGTAATTCTGATTAGGGATTCCTGGGTCACATGCTTACTTTTGGAACTTGGGGACAGGGCCAGCTCTTAGGACCACATGAGAATGCAGAAGGGACAGTTCACTAAAGAAAAATTGGGTTGCTGTTACCAGGAAGAGGAGGAGTTGATACTGGGCAGGCAAAAACAACAGATGTTTTCTAAGATTCTGCAGATCTGTAAATTGCAAGCATGTAGAGAGAAAATAAGGAAGACGCTCAGGTAGCCAGCTTTATGCTCATATGGTAGCTTAGCATGGTCTTACAGTGTTCCAGAGCCTGGTTTTCTGCTTTATATTTCCAGAAATTTGTTGTTGTCAGTGTAACTGATGATTTTTTCCTCTGGGCCTGACTCATAATAATCTGACTCAGCAGAGACCGAAGAGACTAAACCCCATCTTAGAACAAACAGTAATTACCACAGGTCCCAAGCAGGCTGTCAGGGCACTTTCTCTGACAGAAAACCACAAGTGAAGCCAAATTCTAATCATAAGGTTGCTTAGTGCCCATGGAACCAGGCAAGAGGAGTTCTCTGGAGAAAATCAGTGGTTAGATACGTTATGCCATGATGGTACAGTAGTTTAAAAATGTCTGCCAATACCAGAATGGTGAAGAGAGAATATGTTACAGGGAGAGAGACTGATGCATGCAAAGACCAAAAGACAGCGAGAACAGAGAGTGATCTAATGGGGCTGGTGCACGCAAGGCAAGCAGAGGACAGCCAGAGGTCAGGGTGGAGAGGTGGTTGGCAAAGACCTCACTCTGAGTGTAATGGGGAGCCATGGACTTAAGAAGGGAGGGACATTGCCCTGTCATGGAAAGATCCACCTCGGTATAAAGAGAAACAACCAGAGATGGGCAGACTCCGAAACGGGCAAACTCTGAAAGCAAAGGGTTAACTAAGGCTGCTGATGCAGTGGGTGAACCAGCAGGGTGGCACTTGGGATGAAGTGGCTAGGGATGAAGTGGCTAGGGCTGAGACAGTGATTCTCAAAGTTTAATGTGCATACAAATCACCTGGGGATTTTGTTTAAATGCAGATCCTGATTCAATAGGTCTGAAGTGGGCCTAAGATAGTGCATTTCTAACAAACTTCCAGAGAATGCTGACACAGTTAGTCTGGAGACCACACTAAAATTTCTGAAAAAAAAAATTTTTTTTTTTTTTTCTGACACAAAGTCTCACTCTGTTGTCCTGGGTAGAGTGACAGGGTGTCATCATAGCTCACAGCAACCGCAAACTCTTGGGCTCAAGTGATCCCCTTGCCTCAGCCTCCTGAGTAGCTGGGACTATAGGTTCCACCACACTGCCTGGCTAGTTTTTCTATTTTTAGTAGAGATAGTGTCTTGCTTGTGCTTAGGCCAGTCTTGAACTCCTGAGCTCAAGCAATCTACCCGGCTTAGCCTCCCAAAGTGCTAGGATTATATGTGTGAGCCACCATACTCAGCTTTTTTGTTTGTTTCTGAGGCAAGGACTCTGTCATTGTAGCTCACTGCAACTGCAAACTCCTGGGCTCAAGGGATCCTCCTGCCTTAGCCTCCTAAGTAGCTGAGACTATCGGCAGGCACCATCATGCCTGGCTGATCTGTTTCTTTGTAGAGGCAGGGTGTTGTTCTTACTTAGGCTGGTCTGGAACTCCTGCCCTCAAGCCACCTACCAACGTTGGCCTCCCAAAGTGCTCGGATTACAGGCATGTGTCACAGTGCCCAGCCAGATTTCTGAAATATTAAAGAAATGGAATTTATAGGAGTTTGTGATTGGCTGGATGGGTTTTAGAGTAGGGATTGAGGAATAATGCACTGTTAAAGATCAGAGGTATAATGCACTGTTAAAGATCATAGCCAAACTTCCAGCTTGAGTATCTGGGTGAAGGTGATGATATCCACAGGCAGACAATGAAGAACAGGTTTGGGTGGGGTAGATAATAATAACCAATAACATTTATTGGGTAAGTAATATACTATGTGCCAGACTCTTCACATGTTGTTTTATTTATCCAGTCCAACAAACTTTTATGGTTCCCATTTTACGTCTGAGGAAAATGAGGTCAAGGTCACACAGGTGGTAAGTAGATCAATCAGCTAAGATCTAAAAATTCCCATGGCAGTTAACTTATGTAGTTAACCATTGGCAGTTTAGGTATGTGATGTTGAAGCACCTATATGATGTCTACAAGGAGTTGTCTAAAATGCAGGTGGATGTGCTGACCTGGAGTTAAGGAGAAATCTTCTGAGCAATGAAGATCTGGGGAGAAGATAGGTGTGGTGGTATGTGCCTATAGTCCTACCCACGCAAGAGGCTGAAGTGGGAGGCTTGTTTGAGTCTACTCTGGGAAACATAACAAAACCCTGACTCAAAAAAAAAATTCTGGAAGGAATTAAGTCACTGAGTGAATGAAATCACCCAGGAAGGGTTACAAGGTTATAACCTGCCCCTTGAGAGTGGTGCTATCAATCTTGTTCCATTTTCCTTTGACATTTAAGTGTTGGAGAGGAAGAATCTGAAGAAAGCCAGTTTTTACTTATTTTATAAATAACTTTTTTCCTGATTATGTACTGAAGTTGATTTCTGCTTATTAACTTTTCTTGATCCTAGTGAAGACACTCAATTTCCCACATCCACCTCAGATCTTTCTGATTTTTTTGTTTTCCAGTTTCTAGTCATTATGTTGCCTAGGCTGTTCTTGAACTCCTATCCTCAAGTATAACCCCAAAGTGCTAGGATTACAGGCTTGAGCTACCACTTCTGCCCTCTCATTAAATTTTGATTGTTGCCTTTAATTGATTTGCTGTCCCTTTGGGGAATCCCATGGTTTGAATCCCCAAGATGACTCCCATCCCTACTCTTTTCTTGCTTAAAGAATTCCATCACTTTGGCTGGGTGCCCGTAGCACAGTGGTTATTGCGCCAGCCACATACACTTAAGTTGGCAGGTTCAAACCCAGCCTGGGCCAGCTAAAAGAACAATGACAACTGTAACAAAAAACAGTCAGGCGTTGTGGCAGGTACCTGTAGTCCCAGCTACTTAGGAGGCTGAGGCAAGAGAATTGCTCAAGCCCCAGAGTTGGAGGTTGCTGTGAGCTGTGAAGCCACAGCACTCTAAGGGTGACATGGTGGGACTCTGTCTCAAAAAACAAAAAAAAGAATTCCATCACTTTATTCTATATTCTTGAAAAATTTCCCATTTATCTTCTATATTTCCAGTTTGCTCTTCTGCATCAAGTCCATTTTGTACTGTTTCAACCCTTGCTTCACTTTGGTTATGTGGTTTTAGTTTCATGGTGCTTTCCATTTATTTTGGCCTGTTTTCTAAAAAATGGAATGTCCTTTTTCAATCATAAATAAGAATTAGGTGTTTCCTAAAATGGGGTTCTGTTTTATGGGCTAAATATATTTTGAAGGAGTCATTTTTGGCTTTACCACTTTATTCCTTTTCTCCTGTGCCACATACTTTTTCCCCACATTTTTTTTTTTTTTAAAGAAACTTGTCTGTTCTCCTTTGAGATTGACTAATTGGTCTTTGTTGATGTCTGGAAGTCCAGGGCTGATGACTTTAAAGATGGAAGTGTTGGACAGTGGATCTGTCACTCTTCCTTCCCTCTCCAGAGATGACACGGAAACGGTTCAGGGGCAGTGGCTAGCTCATCTTCTGTCTCATTACCTTAGCTTTTCTTGATATCTATCTACATCAGGATTTCATTTCTATTTTTCAACCTCTGCTGTTTGTGACTATTTCTAAGTCTCAGTGTGTCTGTCTCATCTCTAAATCTTTTTGTTGTGGTTTTAGGGCTTCCATGTTTTCATTTATATTTCACTACGTCCTGTGTGTAAATGTCTGCCCATTTGTACCAATCTGGGTCTCAGTCTGTGCGAATGTCTTAGGTGTTTCAATCCACTACTTCTAACCTGTTAATTTTGCTCTGTTATTTCTTCATAGTACTTATTGCAGCTTGAGTATTGTATCTGTCTCATCTCTCTAGAAGGCAACTTCGAGGGTGAATCCCCAGGGACATTGGTGGGTGCTCATCAAACTAACCTGATCAGCGGCTCCTCTCAGTTTGCAGTTTTTCGTTTTGGTATTAACACTAGCGTTTCACACTTTCTCAGTATGCAAATGTCTTCTCCGTCTCTGCCATGCCTTTCAGGTTTCTGTCCTAGTCTGGAGGCCTCTACATTTATCAGTGTGTGGGCCACGGATTCTTCTAAGGCCTGTCCCAGGCCGGCAACTGACGTGTGCCGCGTCGTCGGGCCTCATGCCCAATTCGGGTCGCTCTCTGGCTCTGTTCTGACCACGTTCCGAAGCTGGTCTCGGCCCTCACAGTCTCTCAGCTCAAAACCGCAGGCTTTATCCGGACGTCTCGGCCTCCCTGGGCGACTCCCACGCCGAAGCACGTGACTACGTCCGAAGGCTCCTCCTCCGCGGCCCCAATGCTCCGCCCTGAGCCCGGCGTTTCCGCCGGCCCTCGTGGCCCCGCCCCCAAGCCGCAGAGAGCCAATCTACGCGCACGCTTCTTGGTCCCACCCCGGCGCCCTCCTCGGCGCGCCCCTCCCTCCGCCCGCCCGCCGGCCCGCCCGTCAGTCAGGCAGGCAGGCACTCGGTTCGAGCGGCCGTGGGCTCTTTGCTTCTCCTGCACCGCGCCCTCCTTCCTCTTTTCCGGTCAGCGCCGGCGGCTGAACCGGCGGCGTCGCGGTCTCTTCGGGAGGCGCGGCAGGAGTTGCGCGGCAGCCGCGGAGCGTCAACCCAGCGCGGCGGAGGCGGCGGCGGCCCGGCAGCCAACATGGCGGCGGGGGCGGCGGCGGGCGCGGGCCCGGAGATGGTTCGCGGGCAGGTGTTCGACGTGGGGCCGCGGTACACCAACCTCTCCTACATCGGCGAGGGCGCCTATGGCATGGTGTGGTGAGTGTCCGCTCCCGGACCCCCAACCGCCCGGGGCCGCAGCCGACGCAGCCGCGGCCTCGGTCGCTACTCGGCCTCCCGCGCGGCCGCGACCCTGAGCTCGGTCTTTGCCACGGTCCGCGCGCCGGGGGCCTCGGGCAGGGCTCCGGGACGGCCGACGCTACCCCGGCCGGCCCTAGCTGTCCGAGGGGAGGGGCGTGGGGCCGGAGGCCGGGGCGCGGTGACCCCCAGAACCGGGCGCAGCGCGGATTTTAAAGCCTGACCCCGGAGAAGGGAACAGAAGCGTCCCCACCCACCAGTTTGCTAGCATCTTGGGCTTCTTGACATCCGATTGTAAAACCCAGAATTCCATCAGATGCTTGGTAGCGGCCGTGGTCTTGAAAGCGGTTCCCCTCGGGCTGTGTGCAGAAATAAATAATTATTATAGTTCTCTTCTCTTGTCTGTTTACCGAGAGCAGCTTTCATTAAATGTATTCAGTGGCGTTATGGTGCTCTCCTGCGCAGTCTTTCTAAAAAGCATTAGTGACATCAGCGTTGGTTGTAGAATATAAATATGTCACTCTTGAAGTTTTTATTTTTAAATGGAATTTAATATCGTACTGTTGGCGTTTCAGGAAGAATAAGCCAGCATCACTCTCTCGATTTATTAAAGATCCATTTGGAGTTGGGCCTAATTTGACTTTGTTTTTTTTCTTTACCCCAAGTGAATTCTCTTACCGGCATAAATGCATCTAGACGTTTTAGCCCAATTACTGTGGACTTTTCCTGTTAATGTTTTAGTGGTCAGTATATATCCAGGCTTAATAGAATTCTTGGAGAATCCCATGCAGGCGCTCCCATTCTTGAACTAGGCCCCTGAAAAATGTTGGTGAGGTGATGGTTATGGTATTGACATTAGAATGAACTGAATGTAGTGTTTTGTGCAGATGAAGACTCATGGAAGTAGATTCCCTTAAATCTGAATCTTGTAAGTGTCTTTTGTGTTGAGTGAAGTAAATTAATTTATTGAGCTCTTGGTGGGGGGTACTGTGTTACATACATTATTTCATTTTATTTCGACAGCCACATTGAGGGAGGAAAAGATGTGACTTATTTGAAAGCCACAAGTGAGAAAAGTATTTAGAGGTGAAGCCAGTTCCTAAGGTCACAGCACTAAAGAGTCACTCTGAAGATTGTAGAGTGAGATCCTGCTTCACATGATGCAGCCCTTTACGTGACATCCTGCTTTCTTTAGTGCTATTGGTAATTTCAGAATTTTAGTGTATTTTGTTGTTATAAGCGAGTCTATTTCAGAAGTGCATTCATATTTGAATGATCATAATTTTAGAAATGATATTGAAGGTATGTTTTACCAAATTATCTTAGCTGGGTAGAAAAACTAGTTAAAATTTCTAAAAAGGCTTGAATGGAATCTTGAATATTTTTATTTTCTTTAGGAACAAAATGCTTCACAGAATACAACTGTGAAAATTAGTGTGGACTCAGCAAAGAGAAATTAAATTAGGTTAGGTCCCAAATAAAGAAGGCCCTAAAAAGTAATAGGAAGAAAGTATTGCCCACAGCACCCTTCTCTGTGATACACCTTGTTGCTGTTGGGCCTGTCAGTAAAATATGCTTGTAAATGTGTCTCATTATGAGAGGCTCAGAATTGCCCACCAGATCCTTTGGGTTTTTTTTTTTTTTTTTAAGAGACAAGAGTCTCACTTTATTGCCCTTGGTAGAGTGCGTGGTGTCACAGCTCACAGCAACCTCCAACTCCTGGGTTTAGGCAATTTTCTTGCCTCAGCCTCCCAAGTAGCTGGGACTACAAGCGCCTGCCACATGTCTGGCAGTTTGGCCGGGGCCAGGTTTGAACCCGCCACCCTCGGTATATGGGGCTGGCGCCCTACTCACTGAGCCACAGGCTTGTCTAAGTATGGACTGCAAAAGAATCTTTAGGTTTAGGACGTGGCAGTTGAAAAGATGTTCCCCTCCCTGATAAGATTTTCCCTGTTACTAGTCTGAAAAGGATTCGATCTGGAAACTGTTTTCATACCTACTGGATTTAATTGATGTGCAGACTCTGTATTTGAAATGCTTGGTCCTCTTACTGTAATTTTCTTTTCCTAATTTTCCTTTTCTAAGTAATATAGAAATGTAATTGGAATTCAGATCTTGGGCCTGGATTCTAGCTTTTTATCAGGTTGATGGTATATTCTACTATTAAGTTGATCTTTTACGTTGCAGGTTATTAGCATTTAATACATGTTGATGAACAATGCTGGTTAATGAGGATTTCTTGGTAGAGGTATCAGTATTTGAATAACAATCTGAAAAACTTCACACAAGGGTGGGGAACCTGCAGCCTTAAGGTCATATGGCTTACTAGGTCCTTAAGTGTGGCCTTTTGGCTGAATCTAAATTTTATAGAACAAATTGTTTTATTTAAAGGGGTGCAACAGAGGAAGATGAAGCATTTCTTGCCTCCTTTGGTGCTTAAAAAAGAACAATCTTGAAATTAGAAAGCCGCAGGTTCCCCACCCCTTCCTTATCATTTCATTGGGAATTGTGCCTGTTTTGCTCAGAACCCTTTCCTGATCATTATGTAGAGGATATAAAGAGGAAGAGTGGGGTTTGAATTGGGCCTTATGTAAGTGGGTGTGATTTTGATATGCAGATAATAGGAGCAAGTGACAGCTTGAGCTGTGGAATCTAATTCTGGAAAAATACTTAGGTGGTAAACTCTAGAGGCTCCAAAGGCAAAACTGAGTTTGATGTATATTTGTGCAGTGGGGAAACAAGGTTTTTGAAGGAAGCGTTCACATGGCCAGTTTTGATATTTTGGGTGGAGGTTGATAACATTGGTGTGAAGATAGAAAACAGAACTGGAGTGGAGGAATCAGGCTGTTGTAACCATAGAGGTACAGTAATTAATACAGTAGCAGTGGAAAGTATCTGTGAGGGTGAGCAGCCTTTTATAGATAGGATCAGTAACAGGGGCTCTTGTGGGAAGAGTGGTAGAAAGAATTTTAATCAGGTGGGTATGGATGGAAGCAAAGGATGATGAGACTCTAAGGGTAAGGGACCAAGAGGGGTAGAATTTGAATTTGAGAGGGATTTCTGAGTAGAATAAGACGAAAGTTTGGTGGTTGATCTGGTGTGTAATTGTTTGTGCCAAGGTTTCTACCTTGAGAACCTAGGAGGTTAGTGATGCCATTATCCAAGGGAAGGAGTTCTCTTAGGCAGAGCAGATTTGTCAAGGAGAAATAGTGATTTCTGGTTTGGACTTAAGTTTGCAATGGTTGTATGTCATTCAGTCTATATCCAGAAGGCATCTAGAAATTTATGAGGGGAGCAGGAGCTGGAGGTGAAAATTTGTGTAAGTGATAGTTAAAATCTTGAATGGATAAGCACAGATTCTTTTTTGATAAGCACAGATTCTTATTTGGAGTCACTAGTTAAGTGAAATTGCAAGCATATGTTTTGTATATTCATCATTTTGGCAAATAATCCATAGCATTCAATAGGTTTTCAAAGGGCTCCATTTTCCCAGAAAGGTTGTGGATCAGTGCGGTAGAACAGAAGGACCAAAGAGATATAACTCTGGCAATGGAAGAGGAATGTGAGGATTGGTGAAATGTGTAAGAGAGGAGAAATTAAAGCTACTATGTTTGGTCCTCTTAAACTGAGATAGCAAGTATCTACTTAGGTAAGTTGAGTTTGAAATAATTGTTTCTGAATGCGACATAAAGGTCACGGGGTCATCTCCATAGAGGTACCCTTGAGGATGGGTAAGATGAGAAAAGATCTGAGAACTGAGCCAAAGGAATACCTGTCTTTAGGTGTCAATAAAGGGCAAGTTACAGAAGAAGACACAGGAAATGTGGTAGAGATCAGAGAACCAGGAACGCATCTTACCAAAGGAGCCAAGAGATGTGGCAGTCACTAAGAGATTGGTATTGAACACTGCAGGAGGCAAACAGAACACAGTTGAAAATAAGATGTTATATTTGTTGCCTTTCAACTCTTCTTTAAAAATAAAAAATGATTGTTCCAACTAAAATTTCATCGTGATCACATTCCTAGTGGTGTGATATCCTGTTCAGTTAAAGGTTTTTGTGATTATTGCAGACTAGTAGAACTACCATTTATTCATTTACTGTTTTCTTTGTTTTTATATAAATTAACTCTCCTAATCACACAGCATAGGTGGTTATTTTTATTGTTTCTTTTTTAAAAATTTAAACCAGTGAAGAAACTTGAGACATACAGAAGTTAGTTAACTTGCCTAAGTACACACAGGTAGGCCATGACGGAGCAACCCAGTCTGTCTGGTTTTTTAAGTACTACTCAACCAACGATCAGAGTTGAGAAAATAAGGATTATTTCAATAACAGAAACTATCTGTTGTCTGCTTTTTTGCTTGTTTCACTTTTTAACCTTAAAACCTTTCATGCAAAGTCTGAGAACATTTATTGAACGTTTATATGCCAGGATTCATATGGTCCCTATCCTTTGGTAATTCTTTTTTTCAGATAGTCTACTCTGTCGTCTTGGGTAGAGAGTGCTGTGGTGTTGTAGTTCACAGCAAGAGGTCCTCCTGCCTCCCAAGTAGCTGAGACTATAGGCGCCTGCCACAATACCTGGCTATTTAAAGTAGAGACGAGATCTCTTGCTCCGGTTGATGTCAAACTCCTAAGAGCAAGCAGTCCACCCGCCTTGGGCTCCCAATGTGCTAGGACTACAGGTGTGAGCCCTGGCTCGGCCCTTTGGTAGTTCATGGTGCAAATAATGTGATGAAATTAGGCAGTAATACATAGACTATTCCGGTGATTCAGAAGGACTGTGTGAAGTGCTGGAAAACAAAGGCCTGTGTGACTGGAGCTGTCTTTTGTATGGCTTTCTAGACTTCTGAACCAGGTGTTGATGTAACTAGGAGTTTGTCCTGAGAAGTGCTTTTTGAAGTATGGAAACATATCTGTTCATGAAAACAAGTTATTTGGGATGGCTAGAGTATGGGA